ATAAAATTCAGAATTTAGTTTCTTAGTCTCACTTAACCATGTTTCAAATTCTCAATAGTCACAAGTGGCTAGTGGCTAGACAGATATAGAACATTTCCATCATGGCAGAAATTTCTATTGTACAGCACTAATCTAGGTGCTCAAATGGTCTTGATTTCTGTAGTAGTCAAGGGGCATTATAGGTATAACCTATAATCCAGATTTCCTACTGTATATCATTCTATCACAGGCATGTAAGTTGATATCTGCTTTGGTCAAATGGATTATTTTTGGGCTTGGGGCTAGTGCTGTCAGTCCAGAGAACTCCCAGTATTTATTAGTTTAGGGGAAATCCCTTGAATTCTCATATGCTAAGGAAAGACCATGGGTTGGTTGGGACAGAGAAATTCAGATCAAACTAGACTTCCTTTTGGAAGTATATGTATATTATATATTTATGTTTGTATTTTATTTTATTTTTAAGTTTGTGTATACTCCTACCTTGTTCTAATAATGATTTAGGGCAACTTCTCCTTAGAATATTTTTCTGTTATTTTCTTCAAGGCAAATCAGTTAGGTCTATTCAACATATATTTATTAAGCGCTAATGCTCAGCTGGATATAAAAACTCTGGGAAATGTTCAGGTCTTTGAAGAACAATTCCTGTCATTAATGAGTTTGTAATATGAATAGGAAAAAGGTATTTTTACATGAAAAGCTTAAAACTGGAAGATAATTTTAATTAGGTCCTGTTTTTATTTTTTTGGGGGTACGCGGGCCTCTCACTGCTGTGGCCTCTCCCATTGCGGAGCACAGGCTCCGGACGCACAGCCTCAGTGGCCATGGCTCACGGGCCCAGCCCCTCCACGGCATGTGGGATCTTCCCGGACCGGGGCACAAACCCATGTCCCCTGCATCGGCAGGCGGACTCTCAACCACTGCGCCATCAGGGAAGCCCCTGTTTGTTTATTTTTGCTTTTGTTTCCTTTGCTTTAGGAGACAGATCCAAGAAAATATTGCTATGATTTATGTCAGAGTGGCCTGCCTATGTTTTCTTCTAGGAGTTTTATAGTATCCAGTCTTACATTTAGGTCTTTAACCCTTTTTGAGTTTACTTTTTTATATGGTGTTAGAGAATGATCTAATATTCTTTGACATGTAGCTGCTCAGTTTTCCCAGCACCACTTATTTAAAAGACTGTCTTTTCTCTATTGTATTTTCTTGCCTCCTTGTCATAGATTAATTGACCATAAGTGTATGGGTTTATTTCTGGGCTCTGCATTCTGTTCCATTGATCTGTGTCTGTTTTTGTGCCCATACCATACTCTTTTGATTACTGTAGTTTTGTAGTATAGTCTGAAGCCAGGGAGCATGATTCCTTCAGTTCTGTTCTTTCTCAATATTGTTTTGGCTATTTGGGACATTTTGTGTTTTCATACAAATTTTAAGATTATTTGTTCCAGTTCTGTGAAAAATGCCATTGGTATTTTGATAGGGATTGCATCAAATCTGTAGATTGCCTTGGGAAGTATGGGCATTTTAACAATATTAATTCTTCCAATCCAGAAACACAATGTATCTTTCCATCTGTTTCTGTTGTCTTCAGTTTCTTTCATCAGTATCTCATAGTTTTCCGAGTACAGGTCTTTTATCTCCTTAGGTAGGTTTATTCCTAGGTATCCTACTTTTTTTGGTGTGATGATAAATGGGATTCTTTTCTTAATTTCTCTGATAGTTCATTGTTAGCATATAGAAATACAACAGATTTTGGTGTATTAATTTTGTATCCTTCAACTTTATCAAATTCACTGATGAGTTCTAGTAGTTTTCTGGTGGTGCCTTTAGAATTTTCTATGTATAGTATCATGTTATCTGCAAACAGTGACAGTTTTACTTCTTCCTTTCCGATTTGGATTCCTTTTATTTCTTTTTATTGTATGATTGCTGTGGCTAGGATTTCCAATACTATGTTGAATAAAAGTGGTGAGAGTGGGCATCCTTGTCTTCTTCCTCATCATAGAGGAAATGCTTTCAGCTTTTCACTGTTGAGTATGATGTTAGTGGTAGGTTTGTCATATATGACCTTTATTAAAATGAAAAGATAACCTACTGAATGGGAGAAAATATTTGCAAGTGATATGACTGATAAGAGGTTAATATTCAAAATGTATAAACAGCTCATACAACTCAACATTAAAAAAAACAAACAACCCAATTTAAAAATGTACAGAAGACCTGAATAGATGTTTTTCCAAAGAGGACATGCAGATGGTCAACAGGCACATAAAAAGATTCTTAACATCACTTATCATCAGGGAAATGCACATCAAAACCACAGTGAGCTATTGCCTCACACCTGTCAGAATGGCTATCATCAAAAAGAACACAAATAACAAATGTTGGCGAGGATGTGGAGCAATGGGAACCCTTGTACACTGTTGTGGGAATGTGAATTAGTGCAGCCAGTGTGGAAAACAGTATAGAGGTTTCTCAAAAAACTAAAAATAGAACTACCATATGACCCAGCAATTTCCACTCCTGGGAATATCAAAAAAACCCAAAAACACTAATTTGAAAAAATACATGCATCCCAATGTTCATAGCAGCATTATTTACAATTGCCAAGATATGGAAGCAAGCTAAGTGTCCATCAGCAGATGAATGGATAAAGAAGATGTGATATATTATACACACATACACACACACAATGGTATAATACTCAGCCATAAAAAAGAATGAAACTTTGCCATTTGCAACAATGTTGATGGAGTCAGGGTATTATGCTAAGTGAAATAAGTCAGACAGAGAAAGACAAATACTTTATGATATCACTTATATGTGGAATCTAAAAAATACAACAAACTAGTGAATATAACAACAAAAAAAAACAGACTCACAGATATAGAGAACAAACTAGTGGTTACCAGTGGGGAGAGGGAAGCAGGAGGGGCAATACAGGGTAGGGGATTAAGAGGTAGAATCAAGTTCTACATAAAATAAGCTACAAAGATACATTGTACAACACAGGGGATATAGCCAATATTTTATAATAACTATAAATGGAGTATAATCTTTAAAAATTGTGAATCACTATATAGTACATCTGTAATTTATATAATATTGTACATCAATGGTACTTCAATGAAAAATATTTTTTTTTTTTTTTTTTTTTTTTGCGGTAATGGGCCTCTCACTGCTGTGGCCCCTCCCGCTGCGGAGCACAGGCTCTGGACACACAGGCCCAGCGGCCATGGCTCATGGGCCCTGCCGCTCCGCGGCATGTGGGATCTTCCCGGACCGGGGCATGAACCCGTGTCCCCTGCATCAGCAGGTGGACTCTCAACCACTGCACCACCAGGGAAGCCTGAAAAATATGTTTTAAAAATTACATCCTTAACTCAAAAAAATGCAAGATAATATGGGTTAAATGTGTAATAAATGGTATAGCACCGTATGCATTGTAGAAGTTCAATAGAAGTAGAGATCTGTGAGCTTGAGTGGTTGAAGAAGTTAAGGAGGAAAGGGACTTGAGCTGAGATTGAGTATGTTAGAAAGAATTTTCTAGTAAGGAGATTCTATGAGCCAAAGATCATATGTACGAATCAACAGGTATGTTTGGATACTGTATTAATGAGGGTAGGCTAGGCTGTGTAACAAATAGCACACACACTCACACATTCCTCTGAAGTCTAGAACAAAAGAGTTCTGCCCCTTTGCCTGCTTTTCTCTCTACCATCTTTGATTCCTTCCTCTTCCTTACTTCCCTTAGCTAATTAATCCTGTATTATGTAGATTCTTCCTTTCCAGGGGGTTATGAGTAACTGCCCTTATTTCCAAAAATGCCCAATATCTCAACCACAATAGAAATTGATTTTTCATAAAACAGTCTAAGTCCTGGTCTGGTTGGTCCTGGTTGGTGAGTGGCTTTCTTTCATGTAGTGATTCAGGAATCTAGGCTCTTTTGTGGCTCAACCATTCCTTAGATCAGGCAGAAGGGGAGAATGTGGAACAGTATATCTAGAAATTAAAGTTTTATCCTAGAAATGGGCTTTATCACTTCTGCTTACATTCCATTGGCTAGGATCAGTTATGTGGTTAGTTACATACTCCAAACAGCAGAGGAGGCTGGGGAATGTAGTCTAACTGTGCTGAGGAAGGATATTTTGTGATCACCTAGCAGCCTTTGTCATACACAGGAAGCCAATAAATCTAGTTTGGCTGATTTGGAGGGTTAGTGTGGGAGAGCAATGAGAAGTAAGCCTGGACATTTAGCATGGGGTCACATTTTGGGAGACTTTGACTGACAGTCTAAGCATCGTGAACTTTATAATCATTTGTGTGCTGTTGAAAGCTTTTGTACAAAGGAAAGATATGGTAACAGTGGGATTTTACAAACATCAATCCAGTATACAGAATGACTTGGAAGAGGAAAAGGTTATTAGGAAGGAAAAGGTAATCCAAGTTATAGATGACAAGGACTTGGCATATGGCAGTAGAAGTGGAAATGAAGGCATAGATTTATAATCGACTAGAAAGAAATAATAAAATATGATTAATGATCCTATGGAAGAGGGAGGAATTAAAGTGGTGGGGAAAAGGGAGAGAATTTTTCTTTTTGTTCTAAACATTCAAAGAAGTATATGTGTATGTGGTATTTGCTACACCCCTACTATTTCTTATTTATCTTAAAGAATTCATTTGCAGTCTTTTAGACTGCTTAAGGATCTAGGGCATATGTTAAAGGGGAGATCCCTGGGCCTTCTTTCCAGAGATTCTGATTTAGAGGTGTGTCTTTTTTATCAGCATGCTGAATGATTATGATGCAGATGTGGTCTGCAGACTACACTTTGAAAAACATTGCCTTAAATATATGTATTGACTCGTGGCAAGTCGATGCTTTACTTTTTCTGTAGTAAGCGATTGGAAATTTTCTATAGGCTGATAAGATATGCTTGAGTCTCTAGGTTCTGAGTAGAATGATCAGAACCATTCTTGACAGTGTGTTTTCCCTATTGTCTCAGTACTCTTGGGACAGTCTCCTTTTATTTTCTTCAGCTCCCTGAAGTGTTGGTATTAAGAATCAGAAGTGGGCTTCCCTGGTGGCACAGTGATTGAGAGTCTGCCTGCCGATGCAGGGGACATGGGTTCGTGCCCTGGTCTGTGAAGATCCCACATGCCGCGGAGCGGCTGGGCCTGTGAGCCATGGCTGCTGAGCCTGCGCGTCTGGAGCCTGTGCTCCACAATGGGAGAGGCCACAACAGTGAGAGGCCCACGTACCGCAAAAAAAAAAAAGAATCAGAAGTGTTTACCGTCCTGTCCTAAATTAGTCCAAGTGATTCTCCAGCCAGAGAAATAGAAATAACAATTTGCTCACTTTATTTTCAAAATTTTACATTTTTGTGAACTGCTTTGATATTAGGGTGGTGTCTGAATTTTGTAGGATTGTTGTGATGCACACACTTCTCAGAATATCTCAATCAGAAAGGAGGTGTGCTGATTGTTCCCCTTCCCAACATGTGTGATTTAGTCTTCTTCATTCTCCATATGCAGTGTATATGTATAGAAATGACTATAAAGATACATATCCAGCTTTTTTTAAAATATAAATTTATTTATTTATTTATTTTGGAGTGGGTCTGCGTTGGGTCTTCATTGCTGTGCGTGGGCTTTCTCCAGCTGTGGCGAGCGGGGGCTACTCTTCGTGGCGGTGCGGGGGCTTCTCATTGCGGTGGCTTCTCTTGTTGCAGAGCACGGGTTCTAGGCACGTGGGCTCAGTAGTTGTGGCTTGCAGGCTCTAGAGCACAGGCTCAGTAGTTGTGGTGCACGGGCTTAGTTGCTCCGCGGCATGTGGGATCTTCCCAGACCAGGGCTCAAACCCATGTTCCCTGCATTGACAGGCAGATTCTTAACCACTGTGCCATCACAGAAGTCCCCATATCCAGCTTTTAACAGCACTCTGAGAGGTGGAATTGGGAAGTGAGGGAAAGAAATGGGGGCTTTTATTTTTTATTTTATATTCTTCCATACTGTTTTTTTAAAAACCTGAATATGTGTCAATTTTAGGAACTCATCATTTCCTTTTTATCCATATTAAATAGATGTAGTAGTAATAGTAGCTACCACTTATTAAGTGCCTCGTCTCTACCAGTCCCTTCACATTATTTTACTTAATATTCACAAGAATTCTGCAATATAAGTATTAACATTTTACATAGCAAACAGAGATTTAGAGTGTTTATAAAACATGCCAAAGGGCATACCACTGTTTAGTGGCAGAGCAAAGAACTAAATCCAGGTCTCTCTGACCCAAGTCCACTTTTTTTTATGGCTATACTATGAAGGTCTTATTTACCCTAATTCCTTTGGATGGCAGGAAACCTGTTTGTGTGAGTGGCAATGGTTACAGTCCTCCAGGAATCTTTTAGTAATTAAGAAGACCAATTACTAAGAAAAAGTAATCAGTGGAAATGCAGAATAGGGGCTAGAGGAAGGCTGCAATGCCTTTTGCCACTATGAGGAGGCAAAAGAAAATTCCATGGAGTATCCTAAGACTGGAGTAAGTTAGTCTGGTTATTTGGTTGCTAGATATTTGTTGTCACTTTGTACAGATTTTTTACCAGGCCTTAGGGACTGAATATCTCACTCACTGTGGTTCTGCCATGAAACAATTCCACTCAGAGGAAAAGGCTTTAATGAAATGATTACCTTCAGATTGCTGGCAGCGTTAAGAAAACCAATAAGAAATGCTGAGGCTCCCAGAGACCAGCAACAGGAGGATGCCATTAACATCTTCAGGCCTGAAGGTATCAAAAGATGAAACAGTGTTATTGGAGCCCAGAGCCCTACAGGAGGATTTGCTGGGCAGGAAGCATTGTTTAGGTGTGCAACCACTACTAAAATTGGGGCCCCATAGCAGGATGAGAATGGAGAACAAGTACCCGGACTTTCTTTTCTTTCTTCCTGCCAGTCTCCTGCAGGTGCTTCTTACTGACCAAATAATAAGCAAAAACCATCTGACAAGGAGCCCGGGTGACACAGTCTGTGGTTTCAGCCAAACAGGGCTCCAAGTGGAAAATGGGTCCGTGGTGGGGCAGAGCAAATAGAGAATAAACAGTACATCCCTTCATTGCTTTGCCATTGTTCCCAAGATAAAGACAAAATTCTTTACATGGCCTACAATGCCCTACATAGTTTCACCCTTGATGACCAATTCAGTATCTTTTCATTCTCTCCACTCCAATTTTACTTGCAGCTTATCAGTCCTTTGTTCTTGCCATGTACCTATCTGCCACAAATGCCTTTTCACATGCTGTATCCTTTTCCTGGATGCTTCCTTCTCTTTCCTCCCCTTTCACCTAATTGGTGCTTACATATCTTTCAGATCTTAATTCAAAAGTTTCTTCTTTTGGGAAAATTTCCCTGACTTCTCTGACCAGACCAAATTCCCTTTTTAATAAGTTCTTTTAGCTAAGTGTACCGTTTCTTTATATCATACATTATTGTAGTAATTTACATTTACTACATTTGTCTGATTGTTTGATTAATGGATTTCCCCATACTAGACCAAAAACTCCATGAAGGAACTGAGTCTGATATTTGCTTATCAGTATAGTCCTAGTGTCCACATACTGTTTGGCACTCAGTAGGTAGTTAATATTTGTCAGAAAAACAAATGAAAATAAAAGATGAATAGAAGCCTCCAAAGGATACACATTCTGTTTGATGAAGATAATACATGCATAAATAAAACAATGTAAAGAAAATACAGAGCAGCAATTGAAGCTGTTAAAGCAAGATGGCAAAGATTCCACAAAGCTTCTGTACTCTAGGTATTTGTATGTCTCTCATTCTCAAGTCCCTTGCTTGCAATTGGACACAAATGTTTCTTAGCAATGTATTATATATCTAATGAACACCTAGCACTTATACATAGTAGACATTCACTAAATATTTAATTAATGAATGTAGACAAATTATCAACCATAGAGTAGGCTTAGAATTAGTATGTGTAAGAATCATCTAAGGGACTTCCCTGGTGGTCCAAATTAGTATGTGTAAGAATCATCTGAGGGACTTCCCTGGTGGTCCAGTGGCTAAAACTCCGAGCTCCCAATGCAGGGGGCCCGGGTTCTATCCCTGGTCAGGGAACTAGATCCCACATGCTGCAACTAAGAGTTCGCATGCTGCAACTGAAACAAACAAACAAAAAAAGAGCCGCCATGTTCCAACTAAAGATCCCGCGTGCAGCAACTAAGACCCAGCACAACAACAACAACAACAACAAAAAATCATCTGAGCATAATCACTTTAAAAAAATATAGGCTTCACTTCAGATATACTGATTTCAATAGAACTTGAATAGAGTCCAAAAATCTGGATTTTAAATAAGCACCCCAAGTAATTCTGGTGCAGGTGATTTGAGGATTATTTTTGAGAAATATTAGACTGTAAGCTTCTTGGTGGCAGCATGATGTTCTGGTTAAACATGCGTTTGGGAGTCACAGTTTCCTGGGTATGAATCTTGGCTCTTATACTAGCTAGCTATTGGGTTGGCCAAAAAGTTCGTTCATTTTTTCCCGTAAGATGGCTCTAGTAGCACTTAGTTGTCTTTAACTTCATTCGAAACAATTTTGTTAGATTGTACATGACAGCTGTCATATCAGCGTGCATTCAGAAAAAGACTTATCAAAATTGGTGAAGTTTTGTGTAGCCATTTTAATATTGAAGATGGAGGGAGAAAAGCAACATTTTCGGCATATTATGCTTTATTATTTCAAGAAAGGTAAAAATGCAACTGAAACGCAAAAAATGATTTGTGCAGTATATGGAGAAGGTGCTATGAGTTGATGGAACATGTAGAAAGTGGTTTGCGTGGGACTTCCCTGGTGGTCCAGTGGTTAAGTGTTCGCCTTCCAATGCACAGAGTGTGACTTTGATCCCTGGTTGGGGAGTTAAGATCCCACATGCCTTGCGGCCAAAAAAACAAAACAAAGGGTATTGTCACAAATTTAATAAAGACTTTAAAAAAATGGTCCAGGGCTTCCCTGGTGGCTCAGTGGTTGAGAGTCTGCCTGCTGATGCAGGGGACACGGGTTCGTGCTCCGGTCCGGGAAGATCCCACATGCCGCGGAGCAGCTGGGCCCGTGAGCCATGACCGCTGAGCCTGCGCGTCCGGAGCCTGTGCTCCGCAGCGGGAGAGGCCACAACAGTGAGAGGTCTGCGTACCGCAAAAAAAAAAAAAAAAAAAAAAAAAAATGGTACACACACACACACACACACACACACACACACACACAAAAGTGGTTTGTGAAGTTTCATGCTGGAGGTTTCTCACTTGACGATGCTTCACGGTCGGGCAGACCAGCTGAAGCTGATAGTGATCAAAATTGAGACATTAATTGAGAACAATCAACATTATACCACTCAGGAGATAGTCGACATGCTCAAAGTATCCAAATCAAGCTTTGAAAATCATTTGCCCCAGTTTGGTTATGTTAATCACTTTGATGTTTGCGTTCCTCATAAGTTAAGTGAAAAAAACCTTCTTGACCATATTTCTGCATGTGATTCTCTACTGAAACTAACAAAAATGTTCTGTGTTTAAAACAAATTGTGACGGTGGATACTGTACGATAATGTGGAACAGAAGAGATTATGGGGCAAGCGAAATGAACCACCACCAACCACACCAAAGGCCAGTCTTCATCCAAAGAAGGTGATGTTGTGTATATGGTGGGATTGGAAGGGAGTCCTCTATTATGACCTCCTTCTGGAAAACCAAACGATTTATTCCAACAAGTACTGCTCCCAGTTAGACCAATTGAAAGCAGCACTTGACGAAAAGCATCCTGAATTAGTCAACAGAAAATGCATAATCTTCCACCAGGATAACACAAGACCGCATGTTTCTTTAAAGACCAGGTAAAAACGGTTACAGTTTGGCTGGGACATTCTGATTCATCTGCCATAGTCACCAGACATGGCACCTTTGGATTTCCATTTATTTTGGTCTTTAAAAATTCTCTTAATGGAAAAAATTTCAATTCCCTGGAAGACTGTAAAGGGGACCTGGAACAGTTCTGTGCTTAAAAAGATAAAAAATTTTGGGAGGAAGGAATTATGAAGTTGC